TTATTTTATATGTCTAGTAATAGACAAATATATTTCACTATTTTAATCATGTAGCCTATTTCAATACAGCTGAGGAAATTATTTAAGGCAGAAACTTAGAACCTGCTCTCCAGAAGATGAAGAATATATTGCTCTATATGTATATGTGTAATTTAAATTATGTTCAGTCATGTAATTACTAGCATATTTATAATTTAGTTGCATCAGGTATTATGTATACCAAGGGTAGTTAGGAAAAACCAAATGCGAAAAACTTTTCAATCTATATTACTCAGCTCTTACAAGGAAAACATGATTTAAAAAGCACAAGATGCAATAAAAATTTTATTTTCTTAATTAGGCTTGAAGGCTATCAGGTTTTTGGTCATAAGTTCAAATGATACATCTTGTTACTAGCAAATTATTTCTAGATAATGGAAAGCCCTTCTTAGGATCAGGTAAAGTTGACAGCTTCCTACTAATAGGTACTTGAAATTTCACATTTATACCCCAAGCACATTAATTTTCTGTTGACATAGAAATATCCTGGGAGGGTAGCACTCCATTTTTATTAGTCATGTGCACCTTAGTGTATACGAGATAATTAGCAGACATAGTTTTGGGTACAGAGAGGTTAAACAGTTAAATAGAGGAGTTAAATCTATCAGGTCATTTGGCTATCCCAGATGGGGAAAAGGAATCTTAAGGGAAGGAGAAAAGGAACACAAAGGTACTAAGTACTAGAAATGGCACATAAAGGGCAGTAAGTGCCACTGAAGACATACTCTAAAAATTTCATATTTTTTACTCTTAATTATAAGCTATTGAATTTACTGCTTTGGTTCTTTATATCTGAACACAAGTGGGTAATAAAGGTATATACAGCTATGTGCCCTGTTTGTTTTTTGGAACATACTGGTGTGCTCTGAGACTTCACTACCTTGCAATAGCAAGCTAAGCTATAGTTAGGGTTTATATTAGTATCCAGATATTTATTTTGGGTGGTTGTGCCAAAAAATACCTTCTTCATTGGCTTTGCATGTCGACATTAGAAATGTAATTTTCTACACTACATTAGAAATAATTAGAATCTGCTCAGCAAAATATGTACATTACTGGGAGGTAGAGCTCTTTTAGTTTAATCTGTAGTGTCGATTAGCATTTCCTGGAGATCTGTCTTTGTTTGCTTCATGGGGACTCCTACAACTAGTCCTGGCTCTAAGATGACGTCTCTATTTCTTCAAGATAATGGCATTGCTGGGCCATATTGGGAGGCTCTGCCATCATTCATCCCCATTAATTTGATTGTACATTAAGGGCCATTCCTTGGCAATCAGGCGTCCCTCGTGATTGATCCTAATAAATTTTAATTGCTTACAAGTTCAGTAACTTGATGTAAGAACACGCACAATATCTAAACAATATATTATACATCCCTCAGTCTTTAATTGCTTTGTTTTCATACAACACAAATAAAGACTAGAAAGTTACATTTAATCTATTGCGATATAATCATTTGTAACTGTGCTGATTGTTGCTTTGCTCCCTTATTTAATTTCCCTCAGGATATAACCTATATGTATTTTAAAACGTATTTGTTCCTAAGTATACAAATAATTTGTAACTAAGTATACAGATTACATGAATTGCTTCTATGGTAATAGTACAGTGACTGTCTCTCTGAATTTATTTTAAGGAGAAAGAAACTATTTATACCAACTATGAAAGCACTAAGGGCACTATCTCCTTACTAGACTTCAGACGTCTTTATAGTTACCTACTTTTATTCAGCTTATGCTTGTTTTAAGATCATATTTCAAAAAGTAAACACATAAAAATGATGGAAATATACAAGTTATGCCTGACATTAGGCTGTACCTGGATTTTTAATCCTGTTAGACAAGAGATGTGAATATCAGAATGACTTGGAAGATTCGATCCAGTCACATAATCTGGTCCAATAATTCCTTGGAGTGATTCTTCTTTTAGTCTCTTTAGTAAAGTTGAATAAATCATTCTTTGTGAATCAGAAGGAGGTGTATAAGGAGAGTCTTCCAATGATCTATATTATCAACAGATGTCAAAATTTCGTTTTTGTAGAATCATAGAATTATTGAGGTTTAGATTAGAAATAATCTCTGATGATGATTTAGTTCTCCTTTATAGATGGAGGCAAATTAACTTTAGACTTAATTTATAATAAAACAAAGGACTTTCAAAAAGCAGAAAGAACAGTATTGTAAATTATTACTATACGTTACTGATTTGTTAGCATAAAATGAATATATGCTAAACAAATCAAGATTCATTATTCTGCTAAAATTTATAATGAGACCATGTACACTCCCAACAGATTTGTCCATGAAATTGCAATTTGCAATTTGCATTCCAATTTTTATATTACATTAACTCACTCATAGGTGGACTGTGTACAAGCTCTCCATGCATCCAGTTCTCCAGAAAGTTGTTCAATTTTTAAAGGTACTGACACCTCCCGACGTTTTAACAGCTGACTGAATATGTGAAAGAAAATTAACATGATATCAAAAACTAAGATTTGAGAAAATGCAAGTGAACTTTAACTGCCATTTTAGATTTAACAACTATTATTCAAAAATATATTTGTGTGTACACGTATTATACATAGTAGTATAGATACAGATGCTTACTTGTATATTTAGCAAAGTGCCTGGTAAGTCAAAGATATTCAGTAAACATTGGCTGTATGAGTGACTGAGTGATTGAGTGGACGAATAAATGACCTGTATAATGTATACAGAATGGTTAGCCAAGTCAAGCAATGTTGGATAATAGCCATAGTGAGGGAGAATGCTTAACCATGACCCTGATCATTTAATCCTGGATGACAGATGTATAATGATACCATTAAAACAATACACCCACACACACAGGAGAAAGAGTAGATTTGAAAGGAAGCTGATTTTAATTCTGAGCATACTGAGTTTAAGGCTGGAGTTTAGCAAGCTGCTGGATATATATACACGTAGGAGCTTGGAGAGTAGGCTATGCCTGAATATAAAATACTGAGTCATCTCCGTAGAGGTGATAGGCGAGGCTAGAAAACGGTGAGGGGTGAAGTTTCTGAAGGACAGAGTGTAGACAGGAGAGAGGAGAGGAGGAGCGGAGACTTGGGAGGAGAGTGCGATGTGGAGCAGGAAAAAGGGAAGGAGAGGAGGAGAGAAGGAAAGAGAATAAAACTTTGGGGGATCATATATTTATTGGGTTAGGAAAATAAATATAGGCAGCAAGACAAGACAGCAAAGATGGAACTGTCAGAGAGGAGAAGTTCTTTAACATTAGGGAATTCTGAATTTCTCTTTCTCAACTAACATGTTTCCCTTAGACATATTCTCTCAAGTCTCTTCTGTCGTCTAAATAAAACCCTTCTTTTTACTCTTTTTTTTTTTTTTTTGAGACAGAGTCTCACTCTGTTGCCCTGGCTAGAATGAGTGCCGTGGCATCAGCCCAGCTCACAGCAACCTCAAACTCCTGGGCTCAAGCGATCCTCCTGCCTCAGCCTCCCGAGTAGCTGGGACTACAGGCATGTGCCACCATGCCCGGCTAATTTTTTTTTCTATGTATTTTTAGTTGGCCGATTAATTTCTTTCTAATTTTAGTAGAGGCAGGGTCTCGCTCTTGCTCAGGCTGTCTTTTTACTCTTAATATTAATTTTGTGCTTAATTATTTTCTTCCCCTTTACTTTCATCATTATATATAGCTGAATATATTTGATTAAACATTATTTTAATTCTATGTGATACATCCTGTTGCTCCCATAATATATTTTAATACTGTTAAAAGTTGCTTTCAAATTTTGGTTATGTTGCTTATGTAGAAACAGATTTTTCCTTGAGCACCCTGATAGTATTAATTCCACATTATTCCTTAGTTTGCATTTGGTGGCAGCTACTGCTTCACTGACACAATAGAGAGAAATTAGGAATGAGAAAGCCTGTTTCTCTCAGAATGCTCTGTCCCATATGAAGGGTACTCAGAAAAGTTGTGCACCCACAGACTCTCAGCATTTGTTAAGAGTTAAAAAGCTCACCTATTATGCCATTTAGCAAACTAGAAGACTTGGAAATGGGTTTTCATGGACGGCATTGTGAATTTTATTTTTGAGTATAATACATTTGAAGCATAATGGCTGAAGTTCAGCAAGCTATTAGAAAATGCAGGAGTTTGGCTGGTAGGTTATGCCTGAATATAAAATATTAATAGTAAGTTACCTGCTACTCACAAACCCCCTTTACTTTCCCTTTTTCCACTATAGAAATTAGAAAGCTGAAATGCCCAGTTTCCCATCTTCTTTGAAAATTAGGTTATGCAATTCTGGCCAGTGAGATGTAGGCATAAAACCCTAAGGTTTTATCCTACCTGGATAAAATGGTCTTGCCAGGAAAAAGCCCTTTGTGGTCTCTATTTTTCACCCTTACCTCTCTTTCCTGCTTAGAAGGTAGTCATTATATATGGAGGTTAGCACCTATCTTGTAACCACAGGAAACTCAAGCAGAGCAAAGAAGCCGAGAATGTCAGAGTTGAAAGAAGGGGAGAATACAGATCCTTGATGCAATCACTGAACAGCTGTAACAGCCCTAGAATGCCTAGCTCACGTGTCTTAACATGCAAGATCAATAAACTCTATGAGTTTAAGCTAGTATTAGGATTTCTGCTATTTACAGCCTAATGCATTCTTAATTTGTATAGTTAATTGCTACTTTATTACAAAGTGCATGCTGAGTAAATAATGAATGCATATAATAATACATTTGATGCCTTCGATAAGCCACTTAGAGACTATCTACCTTAGTGAAAGGAATTTTTCTATAATTTTATGATAGAAGAAAATTTTTTTTACCTTGTGTACTCATAAAGTGCTGGAACAATGCTTTGGTACTGTTTTCTGATAGCCAATAATGCACCAATATAACCACATAATATTAGCAACTCATTTCGAGCTCTAAAAGAAAAAATATTTAAATTTTTAAACTTCCACAATTTGAGGCATAGAATTTTACTCTCATCTATAGTTCATGTACTTGTATCTCTATATTTTGATGGGTGACATTTATAGCAATGTATGTTTAGGAAATTTTATTCATTCATCTGTTAATAATGATTTATTCATCAATTAATAATTCATATTCAGACATTTATGTTATACCATAAAATATAATTTAAAATAAAAGTCTTTAAATAGTATTTAACTCTTGCCTGCTTGTTTTTCTCTATTCCCTGGCTGTATCTTCATGTGATTAGTTTCTAAATAACTGCTTTGGTCAGAGGTAGGAGTTCCTGGCATTCTGTGTGGATTCTAGGAAAGGGTAACGCATATCGACTGCATTTCTTGCTGAGGGAATTTGCCAGTTTCCCAGGCTGCGGCATCACCTTTTCCACTTAGGCATGAAACTGAAAAATGCCCAAAACCTTTCTTGCAAATTGAGTCTCTGAGGGCTTTAGTTATATGGACAATAACTTAAATGGTGCTTGACTTCAGGGATGGTGTCTATTTTCTACTTTCTAGCACTTTTTCTTCTTTCCCCCAAGCCTAGTCTTGTGTTTTGTATACAATGAATACTTAATAAATATGGCCATTAGTTTCATGAGGTCCAAAACCATCCAAAGGCTTTGGACTAGTATTCTTTGAACCAGGTGTCTGTGTGTGTGTGTGTGTGTGTGTATGTGTGTGGACATGCACATATGTAAACATACATGCACTAACTGGGACCACTAATATTTAATATTTGGTTTCAAGTTGACCTCTATATTTTTTCATAAGACTATAATAAATAAAAATGTGACTGTTCTACAAGTAAAGCTACCTGTCCAAGATGATCCTATTTCTTGATCTGAACATCAAGAACAATAGAGCCATTTAAAATATTGCATAGATACACTTATATATTTTGAAGAAAAAGTACTCACGCAGTACATGTATGCAAGACTAATTTTTCAGTACGAATATAACTCAATAGGTCAAGAATGGGGTAAACGGTATCCAGCGTCCAATTTGAATTACTGATGTATTCTGACAAAATAAAACCAAATAAAAGGTTCTCTAAATAATAGTATCAAACTTGTTCATCCAATTTTTAACATAGCTGATTAATTCTTTGCCAGTCAGTCCTACCTACCTCTTTATTTTCTAGATCACAAGTATTTTCCTATTCACTCTCTCTCAGGTCCCCATACCATAAAATCAAAAGAGATATCATATTTCACGTTAGTAATCACTCTCTTTTTAAAATTTAAGATGACTAGTTCTTGATTTGAAGATTTGAATTAAGGCTGATCATCCATATGAATGAAAAGATCAAATAAATGAGTAGATTTTACATTATACTACCAACTAAAAACTTACCTTTAACAAAGTCAATACCAACAGGGAGGGCTTTTTCAGGTTCTTGACTTAACAAGTAATACTTTACAGTTTCAAATATATTGCCATCTGCACAGGCTGTCTCAGCTAACTTCATACATTCTTCTACTGTGGGTAGCTTGCACTAGAAAATAATTGATTTGACGACAGTGTTACTAAAATTTATAGAGATAAAAACAATAGTATGAGTACTAAATATTTTGAATATTCTTACTATGGTTTTCTTATTACAGCTGCCCCAAATAGATGTAAATTAAATTATTTGGCTTAAGAGAATATATTTATGGAAATATCTTTAAGATCTAAAAACAGTAAGTGGTATTCATTGGCTAATGAGTCAGTAGTTTTTCATCACACAAATACCTAATAAAAGAGGTGGAAGTAAATTGTCCTGGTTGTAATTTTGGAATTAGTACCAAATGCAATTTGGGAAAAAATGATGAGATTATTTTAGAACAAATATACTAACCATTGCCAAAACTACATTAAAAATAGCAAACATAAAAGGTGCATTATTACATATCCTCTACACTGTAATTTAGTTTGACTTGGCCTTTGAGTCAATGCAACATTTCAGAGACACAAAATATGTAAAAGCTCTAAAAGTTTTTAGCCTTGACATTTTGAAATGCCACAAAGTGGAGATTTTAAAAATGAAAAGTCACCTTCCCATTTTTTCTAATTTTTTTTTTTTTTTCTGTTAAAACTGAGAGAGCCCGATCCTCCCTCAAGTGAGATGGTCTGCTTCCATAATGTGGGCAGGGGTTAAGTTACGTTTTATATAAAATTCTGATATGTTTATGATTTCTGAAGCTTAAGTGTTAAAGTTTGTTTCAAAACAATGTTGATAGTTTCATACTTTGTTTCAATTTATTTAATGCATTTATGAATCATTTCATATTTCCTGTTCTTTAAGTAAATTTAACTTTTTGGATCTCAATTTCTCTCTCAAAAAATTACAACAAACTGAATTAAGGGGGCTCTCATATATATGACATTTCATATTATTTCTCAATACTCACAAAATGCCAGTTATTTACTGAGCAACTAAAATGTACTAGGTACTGTACTTGGCTGGATAGAAAAATGGTTTCTTCATCTTGATACGTGCTCAAGCATAGAAGGAATAAAAAAATGATTCCTATTGAAATATTATCTTCAAATAGAATAATAATAAGAGGGAGATGATCATCCTTGTAATTCTTATATCTTAAAATTCCAAAAATTAATATGTTAATATCATATCTGATTATATAATTTTTAGTATTACAGGTGGTCACCAACTTACAATGCTTTGACTTACTATCTTTTGAGTGCAAAACTGATACATATTCAGTAGAAACCATATTCCAAGTACCCTGTATGTTGTATACCATTCTGTTTTCCACTTTCACTACAGTATTCAATGGATTACATGAGACATAAAACATTTTATTATAAAATAGGCTTTGTGTTAGATGATTTTGCCCAAGTGAAGGCTAATGTAAGTGTTCTGAGCACATTTAAGGTGGGCTAGGGTACGTTATAATGTTCGGTATGTGAGGTGTATTAAATGCATTTTCGACTTACAGTAGTCTCAACTTATTGCAACTCGAGTCATTGAAAGTCGAGGAGCATCTGTACTTATGAAATTGTTCAGTGTTATTAACACCTTTGCACATACTCATTAGTCTTTCTAAAAGTATTAATGAAGTCTGACTAGAGAGTCTAATTCTATCCTTTTTGAATATGTCACAAAAAGACCAGGTGAATAATATTCTCGTCCCTATCATTAAAAGCTATGTAAGCTTAGACTACTCATTTAGTCTTACTAAACCTTGATATTAACATCTGCACCTTTTTTCTCAGAGGCTATCTGTTAGTGTGCAAACACTGCACAGTAAATGTGAAGAATAATTGGGAAAAAACCCCTCCTGCTTCCATCCATGTGCAATTTAATTTCAACATAAATACAGCTTTTAGCTGTCATGTGTATAAAAGCAAAGCAAAGGTTACTTAAACAATAACTTACAGACTACAAAGTGTATACAGAAGTTAAAATCTCTCATAATTCACAGCCCACTGGTAACTTTGAACATTTATCCTTTCACGAGTATTTTCCCTGATGTCTCTCTCATTTTCTCTCATACACACACACATATACACACACACACACCAACATACACACATCTACCCATACATGCTCACTCACATACACTTTTGGTCTGTCTGTATTAACATAGTACTCAATTAATATCTGCTGTTTAATGCACAGGGCCACTCACCCACTAGGGGAAAAATCAAGGTTCAAATAAGTGAAACAAAACTTTCTTATTTTGAAAGTTAAAGATGAGAAAATGTTCTATTTATATCTTATCTTTTTCTTAATAGAACTGCAGGTATCTTCTTACATATGCTATAAACAAAATAAATATGTATATTCACAGTTATTTTCAAAATGAAATCATATGGTATACATATTTGTGTCTGCTTTCTATTTAACTGCTTTATAAGCCGTTTACTCATGTCAATAAAAATAGAGCTTTGTAATTTTTTAATGGATTAAGAACATTGAAATATAGAAATATACTGTAATTTATATAAATAACCCCCCTACCGTTGAACATATGGGTTGTTTTTATATATAATATTGGTACATTGCTTCCTATATTCTGCAAAGGAGTATATTTTTAAAGCACTTTAGAATAATGCAAGTACATTTCATTGTATCTCATTAACTCTTTTAAAGATCCTAAGTTGTCTTTTTTTTTTTTATTTCAAGGTATTAAGCAGGGACAAATGTTTTTGGTTACGTGGATCACTTTTGTAATGCTTGAGTCATGGCTGTAAGTGTGCCCATCACCCAGATAGTGTTAATTGTACCCATTAGGTTGGTTTTTGCTCCTCCCTGCCTCCCTTCTCCCCCCTGCTTGATTTCCACTGAGTTTTACATTCCTCTGTGCACAGGTGTGCTCATCAGTTAGTTCTAATTAATAGCCAGTACATGTGGTGTTTGTTTTTCCATTCTTGGGATACTTCACTTACGATAATGGTCTCCAGTTCCATCCAAATTGTTGCAAAAGGCATTAATTTATCCTTTTTTATGGGTGAGTAGTACTCCATGGTAAACATATACCACATTTTGTTCATTCATTCATTAATTGATGAGTACTTGTGTTGATTCAACATCTTTGCAGTTGTGAATTGTGCTGCAATAAACATTCAAGTGAAGGTGTCTTTTTGATAAAATGACTTCTTTTCCTTTGGCTAGACACCTCGTAGTTGCAATGCTGGATTGAATAGTAGGTCTACTTTTGGTTCTTTCAGGAATTTCCATACTGTTTTCCATAGAGGTTGTACTAATATGCAGTCCCACCAACAGTGTATAAGTGTTCCTTTCTCTCTGCATCCACGCCAGCATCTGTTGTTTTGGGACTTTTTAATAAAAGCCATTCT